CAAAATTCAACAGCCTTTCATGCTAAAAACTCTCAATAAAGTAGGTATCAGCAGATCATATCATAAAATGATAAAAGCCATTTATGAGAAACCTACAGCCAATATCATGAACGGGCAAAAGCTGGAAGAATTTCGTTTGAAATCAGGTACTAGACAAGGATACCTTCTCTCACCACTCCTATTCAATATAGTATTAGAAGTTCTAGCCAGAGCAATCAGGCAAGAAAAAGAAATAAAGGGTATTCAATTAGGAAAGGAGGAAGTCAAGCTGTCTCTATTTGCAGATGACATGATTGTATATCTAGAAGACCCCATCATCTCAGCCCAAAATCTTCTCAAACTGATAAGCAACTTCAGCAGTCTCAGGATACAAAATCAATGTGCAGAAATCACAAGCATTCCTATATACCGATAACAGACAAACTGCCAAATCAAGAGCAAACTCCCATTCATAATTGCTACAAAGAGAATAAAATAGGAATACAATTAACAAAGGATGTAAAGGACCTCTTCAAAGAGAACTACAAACCACTGCTCAAGGAAATAAGAGAGGACACAAACAGATGGAAAAACATTCCATGCTCATGGTTAGGAAGAATTAATATGAAAATGGCCATACTGCCCAAAGTAATCTATAGATTCAACACTATCCCCATCAAGCTACCAATGACCTTCTTCACAGAACTGGAAAAAAACACTTTAAACTTCATATGGATTCACAAGAGAGCCCACATAGCCAAGACAATCCTAAGCAAAAAGAACAAAGCCAGAAGCATCATGCTGCCAGGCTTCAAACTATACTACAAGGCTACAGTAATCAAAACAGCATGGTACTAGTACCAAAACAGAGCCATAAACAAACAGAACAGAACAGAGGCCCCAGAAGCAACATTATACATCTACAACCATCTGATCTTTGACAGACCTGACAAAAACAAGCAATGGGAAAAGGACTCCATGTTTAATAAATGGTGTTGGGAAAACTGGCTAGCAATGTGCAGAAAGCAGAAACTGGACCCCTACCTGTCACCTTACACTAAAATTAACTCCAGATGGATTAAAGATTTAAACATAAAACCTAACGCCATAAAAACACTAGAAGAAAACCTAGGCAAAACCATCCAGGACATAGGCACAGGCAAGGACTTCATGACTAAAACACCAAAAGCAATGGCAATGAAAGCCAAGATAGGCAAATGGTATCTAATTAAAATTCAGAGCTTCTGTACAGCAAAAGAAACTGTATATATTCCTTCAGTATATCATTAGAGTGAACTGGCAACCAACAGAGTGGGAAAAAAATTTTGCAGTCTACCCATCTGACAAAGGGCTAATATCTAGAATCTACAAAGAATGAAAACAGATATACAAGAAAAAAACAACCTCATTCAAAAGTGGGCAAAGGATATGAACAGACACTTTTCAAAAGAAGACATATATGAGGCCAATAAACATGAAAAAATGCTCATCATCACTGGTTATTAGAGAAATGCAAATCAAAACCACATTGAGATATCATCTTATGCCAGTTAAAATGGTGATCACTAAAAAGTCTGGAGACAACGGATGCTGGAGAGGATGTGGAGAAACAGGAACACTTTTACACTATTGGTGGGAGTATAAAGTAGTTCAACCAGTGTGGAAGACAGTGTGGCAATTTCTTGAGGACCTAGAAATAGAAATTCCATTTGACCCAGCAATCCCATTACTGGGTATATACCCAAAGAACTATAAATCATTCTACTATAAAGATACATGCATACATATGTTCATTGCAGCCTTGTGTACAATAGCAAAGACCTGGAACCAACCCAAATGCCCATCAATGATAGACTGCACAAAGAAAATGTGGTACATATATACCATGGAATACCATGCAGCCATAAAAAACAGTGAGTTCGTGTAATTTGTAGGGACTTGGATGAATCTGGAAACCATCATCCTCAGCAAACTGACACAAGAACAGAAAGCCAAACACCACATGTTCTCACTCATAGGTGGGTGTTGAACAATGAGAACATGTGGACTCAAGGAGAGGAGCACCACACACTGGGGACAATTGAGGTGGGTAGGGGAGAGACAGCGGGGAGTTGGGAGGCTGGGGAGGGATAACATGGGAAGAAATGCCAGATATAATTTGCACCTAAAGTAAAATAAATGAAATAAAAAGTCACTAAAAACTTAAACAAAAAAAAAAAAAAAAAAAAGAAAGGAGTAATAATCCATTAAGAAGGAAGGAAAAGTCAAAGTAGAGGCACAGTAGTCTACAGATAAGAATAGGGGCATGTGGGATTGAGGAGTTACCCTATGTGATTGGATCATTGGAAACAATCCTTCTATGCCACCTTTTGCTCCCTAATATTACTCTTGGCAGAGAGCTATCAGACCTCCCGAAAAGTTAGAATTTCAGATGTCATGCCTGGAGATGTTAGCCTATTGTGTACTCTTCAGAACTTGTTACATAGGTGGGCTGCCTTCTCCATTTATTAACAATATATACTGCTGAAAAATGTGAACAATTTAGCATGTTTCTATAGGTGCTAGCATTCCTTCAGTATATTCATGCCATGCATAGGTCAGTATGTTCTGTGATCTAGACCACATCTAAAAAAAAATCATTAATGATAAGTGACATTTGTTGGCTTTCAAAAGACATTAAGGCCTCACTCAGTGCTACCTCTTGTATGGACACCTCCTTGATATTTTCTTCCCCTATCTTCCACCTGATATGTCAGGTTCTTCTGCCAAAAGCTTTCATTTCTCCTTCTACTTCCTTCAGAGTATTTATATCTATTTGTTAGTATATGATTTTAGCTGTGATTGTTTCATCAATTTCTGTCTCCCCAGTTACACTTCCAGCTTCTGTGACAGCAAAGGACTAGATATTTTGTATACCACTGGTTTCCTGGGTCCTAGCCTAGTGCCAGGATCATAGTAAATGAATGCTAAACATTTATTGAGTGAGTGAATACATGAATCTATGTGAATGACTGAATGAGATATACCTAGACTATTATCCTTTGGGTTGTCTTTAAAATTGCATGAGCTCCCAGTTTTACCATTTACCTACCATGTGGTGGACAAAGCATTCATTCTTCAGTGTTTCCATTCAGTCAATATTCATTGTGGCTTATTTTAATCCTGAATGCAAATGAGGTATTTGTGATACACAGAAGAGTAAGGCTGATTCTGTGCTGATGGAGTTGCTGGTTTAGTGGGAGAGATGGTAAAAATAATGGGCAAAGACAGTTACTGTGGTAAATTATGATAAGGGTATGTCCAGACTGGAACTTGGGAAGAAGGTTTTCACTCAGTCTGCTCTTCACTGGGCCTTCCTGACAAAGGACACTCTGAGCTGAGTCATGAAGGCTAACTAAGAGTTAGATGCATAATGGGGATGACTCTTCCAGGAAGAATGAAGCAAAGGGTTTATTGCACAGGGAAATGGGAAATCAAGGCTCACTATAGCAAACTCCAAATAATTCAGTATTGCAGAGTGAGAAGGGGGTGGAAATGGCCTGAACAGAGTGACTGTGGAGATGGGCACAGCCATATCACAAAGGGTCCTTTAAGCCCTGCTATGCACCACACTTTGTCCTGAAGTTAGTGAGTAGCAATTGAAGGATCTTAAATCAGAGATTGATATAAAAGATTTTATTTTATAAAGTTTGCCCTGAGTACAATATGGAGAAGAGATTAGAAGGCAATAGGACTATAGAGGAATGACATAAAGAAGCAGTTACTTACCCAGTGTGATTAGGGCTATGGTAGAAGATGTACTCCGTGCTCTGGGAAATCGGAAGAGGAGTGCCTAACCTAGAACTGGGGTCTCAGCCCAGGCTAAAGTAAGAGTTTGAATTATCATAGTGAAGAGCTGTGATGAGCTTTCCCAACAGACGTGGGTAGGGCAAATGCTCTGAAGTATGCAAGAATGTGACTTTCTTCACAGAACTGCAAATGACTTTTTATTGTTACACTATAGAATATTAAGGGTGACTTGATGATAAATGAAGCTGGAAAGGAAAACATCTTCTAGCATTCAAATCTTTCTCCTATTAAATATTTTTTTAGACTGGGATGACCATGTCATTTATTATCTCCACCAAGCACTTTAAAAACTTTTTATCATAGAAACTTTTGAACATGTAGAGAGAGTAGTATAATTAACACTTATGAACCCATCACTCAGTCCCAACAACTACCCATGACCAATCCTGCCCTTAGCCACATGCCATTTACTTCCCTTTTTCATGTTATTTAAAGCACATTCCAGACACTATATCATCTTATACAAACATTTTCAGTATGTATCTCTAAATGATAAGGAGCATTTTATTAACAAAACCACAACTACCAATATTATATCTAAAATTTCATAATAATTAAATTTTTATCAAATAGCAAGGTTGTAATTTCTAATTATCTCACAAATGTCATATAAATATAAATACAAATATTCATATACAGTTTGCTTCATCAGGATCCAAATAAAGGACTGAGAATTTTTTTTTTCTTTTTTTGAGATAGTCTCACCCTGTTGCTGAGGCTGGAGTACAGTGGCACAATCTTGGCTCACTGCAATCTCTGCCTCCTGGGTTCAAGTGATTCTCCTGCCTCAGCCTCCTAAGTAGCTGGGACTACAGGTGCCTGCCACCATGTGTGTCTAATTTTGTATTAGACAGGGTTTCACCATGTTGGTGAGGCTGGTCTCGAACTTCTGACCTCAAGTGATCCACCTACCTCAGCCTCCCAAAGTGCTGGGATTACAGGTGTGTGCCACCTTGCCCAGCCAGGGCTGAGACTTTTGAAAGTGAAGGCAGATACTATCCATAATTAACGGGTATCTGTGTAGACTTTTTACCTAAGCAGGGATGTGTCATTATATACATTGGTTTATTCCACTTCTTTAATACCTCTGCAGACATCTGGATGGGTATTTTGCAAAACATAAAGGAAACCTCATGCATATTATTGGTTCTATATCTCTCCTATTTTCTTAGGTCTCTCTGCTCTCTGGTGTGTAAGTGGACCTACTCAGCAGAGAAAGGATGGGACGACAGTTTCTGGAAAATGGTTGGTTTGGAAGACTTCGTTGCAGATAATTACAGCAAAATAGGTAAAAAAATAAAACAACTGTAGAGTGATTATGTGCATTGGAGTATCTTGGCTGGTTTATTGTTATTGTGGTTTGTATGTTTCTTATTTTTGTATGCATGAAAATATAGGAATAAAGTCCAGTTTTTCCAAGACATATAAGTTAATTATGACAGGTATGCCATGACTTATAGGCTCTTGCCTTAGGATTTATATGAACTGAGTGGAGACATATGCTATGAAAATTTGCACTGAAATATAGAATCAGAAATTGGACTGGCTCATACCTCTAATCCTAGCAATTTGAGAGCCGAGGCAGGCAGATTTCTTGAGCCCAGGAGTTCGGAACTAGCCTGGGCAACATGGCAAAACCCCGTCTCTACAAAAGAAGTTAGAAATGTTAGCCTGGACTGGTGGCACATATCTGTTGTCTCAGCTACTCTGGAGGTTGAGGTGGGAGGATTGCTTGAGCCTGGGAGGTGGAGGAGGTTGCAGTGAGCTGAGATCGTGCCACTGCATTGCAGCCTGGGCAACAGACAGAGAGGAACTCTGTCTCAAGGAAAAAAGAAAAAGAAAAAGAAATTGAGTTGGACCAAGGAAGATATTTGAAAGGAGCAGCTTGAGAATAGCATACTCGAAGGGCTATCTATGGACTACTTCCAGTCAGTGGTAGGAAAATAATTTCATAAAGTAGGTTCACAAGACAAGACAAGGCTATGAATAGGTAAAAGTTAAGCTAAAAAGGTCAAAATTAGAAAATCTAGAGACAGAAAATGGAACATGAGTCAGTGGTTCCTAACTAAGGCCTTAGGGTCTTAGACTAAGGCCTTTTATTTGGGTAGTAAAGCACAGCTTCTGTGTCCCAAGCACATTTCTCAGTGCTTTCATGTACCTTGTTTTATATATTTCTCACAACTGCTGACAAAAGCACTGTTACACGTTTACAGATGAGAATCAGAGAGATTAGTAATCTTGTTTAACCAGGCATGGAATCAAGAAATGGTAAGCCAGGATTGAAATTCTCCCAGTGAGAGGACCTAGAAGGAACAGTATTTTACTGAAACACTAATTTCAGCTTCAAGTTATCTCATTGTTTAAGTGGTTTGTAAAATGTATATGCCCTTCAAAAAATTAGTTATTTTTTGCTGAATATTCCCTGGTATGTTGAAAATAGCTTTACTAGCTTATATATTATCTGTATATGTGTCTTGATTCCTCACTAGACTGTGAGCTCTTTGTATTTCCTGTCCTAACACAGGGCATGGCATATTTTCATATCTCAATGACTTTTTGATTAAAATATTGAGAGGTTTGTTACTAGCAGGTTGTTATTCTTTACTTTTAAAATCTGTAATGACATTTACTGACTTTAGCATTATCTCTGGCAATTGGGTACAACTTCAACTTTGATTTTCTGATTATTTTTATATTTCACTGCTCTTCTTTCCTGCCTCACACATGACACGTTTAATTAGTGTATTAGCTCTGCTAACGGAGCAGTATCTATAAGAAATATTCATTAGAAGTACATAATGTTAATCTAGCAGAAAATTTGCAGAGTAACTTTATTAGATTTTTCCCTGTTAAGTTAATGGATTTTTAATGACTGTCCTAAGGAGACATATCATTAAGCAGAATATTGCTGTACATGAATTAAAACTTACTCATTCATCAAAATTAATTGTGTAATGTTTCCTTTAATTTTCACTTCTGGGGACTTGAGCTTGTAGTTTCAGTCTGAACCCAAAGTAGAAGATATTTAAGAGGCTGTTTATTCTCAGTTGTGACTTTCAGAAACTCCTCTGGAAGCTACCTCTAGACATTCTTCAGCAGTTCTTGGAACTATGAAGAATGAATCTCGGAAGCTTCTCTATGAAGTGTTACACATTTGCAGTGGCCTCATTGCTTGTCAAGATGTGGGCAATATAGTGCAAAACCTTTTAGCAGATTTGAGCATTGAGCATCCTGGATTTGAGCATTGATACAATTACCATAATTTGCTCCATGTGGAGCTTTTAGCCAAGGCTTTACCAGCCTTCCTGGGCTCATGCAGTAAATAAATGCTTTCCCCGAAAACTGAACACCTCAGCAACTGATGGTCTTATGGAGAAATATTTTTGAAATGAATTATTTATGAAGTGTAAGTTAAGGATCAAATGCAATATTTATATGGTGCATTTCAAGGACAGGAGAAAAAATTTACAAGGGTTTAAGTAACTACATGCACATTTCTAAAGCTAAAATGTTACTATCTAATGCCTTCTTTCAAGGAGGTATTTGGATGGTTTGGTTTGGAAACATTATACAAAGTAAAGAGAAATAGTGTTGTGAATCAAAAGAATATAGTAGAAATTTCTTTACAATTGAATGGAAATTACAGTTAAAACTGTGTAAGTTGATTTAATATTCTGAAGTGATTGAGAAAAACGAAATGCAATTTTTTGGTAGGGGATTATATACCCTTACAGATAAAATGATCTGTATTCAGTAAAATGATCCAACTAGATGATCTGTGTCAATGAATTTTGACCTCTAGTTCCACGTGAATAATTCCCAAGTTACCTATCTAATCCTAAACATCTATCAAAAGCAAACAGGAAGGAAGAGATTAGCAGGGAGAAAGGACCCTTAGGAAGATAAGCAACATCCTACCTGTTCTAATTTATTATCCAGGTGCCATTTCAGTATGCCCTGGTTGCCTTTTTAATTCCTGGGAAAAACTATTTGTTCTATTATTGGGGTAGGCCACTTTATGCAAATTCATATGTTCAACATGGCTGAATTATAGAGTGATTATTTGCATTACTAAGAGGGTTTGTCATATAAAGTAGTTCAGCGTATTAGCTTATAGATCATTCTTATTTGGGGCCAGGGAAGCCAGGCAAAGAACAAATGTAAACTTCAAGTCCAAGAAGTCAGTAAATGTTAAGTGAGAGGCAGAAACGAAGATAAAGGGCAGGATACAGTTTCTTGAGGGGAGGGAGGCTGCTTTTTAAACAGGTTTCCTCCATCCCTATGAGACTGTATTTTAGGTGTTGGACGCCAAAGACACAATCACCTGGCACATTGTAGATACTAATGAAATATTTGTTGAATGAGTAAATATGTATTTGAATTAAGAATTTGATATTAAATGATACTACTAGTGACAGACAATGAATGCATTTCCTTAATTCAGTGTTCACAGTCATCTTTCATGAACACCTCTACATAAGAAGGGGCCCCTGTGGAAGATACACCCTATGTTGAATGATAGTGCAATTCTACTTCATTCCTATAGCAAATCTCTCTGAGGCTTTTCCATGATAGGAAATATCACAGATCCTTCACAGAAGGAAAACAAGAATTTACCTTAGAAAGGTTGGGAATTTCATTTTTCCATAGAGTAAAATAAACCCAACATTAAATGAAACTACACTTTAGGTATTTTTGTCATATGGGCTTAAAATTATAAGTAAAAGTATCTTGACTAATGATAGGTATATGCTGGGGACATAAATGCGCCAGTGAACATCACCACCTGGGGCAAGAGTGCAGTATTGGCACAGTGAATCAAAGTTCAGGGATCTCCTGCCTCTTGTTGGAATCTGGCTAGACCCTGGAACCTGCACAATACTGACTTATCCACCCATTGGCAAGCCAAGAAGCTGAGACAAAGAGAAAAGAAGCCACCTGTACCTGCCTGAAGCAAGCTCCACTTCATCAGCTTGATTCATGAACTCAGAGAGCCCACAGGGCTGAGTACAGGTAGCTCAAGAAGAGAGTGTTAGTTCTTTTCTGCTGCTATAATGGAATACTTGAGGTTGGGTGATTTATAATCAACAGAGATTAATTCAGCTCATGGTTCTGGAGGCTGCAGTGTCCAAGGGTGCCAATATCTTCTGTGCATCTGGCAAGGGTCTTCTTGCTGCATCATCCCATGGCAAAGGGTGCAAGGGTGTGAGAAGGCACGTATAAGAATGAAAGAGGGCAAGAGGGGGCCGGGCTTCATTCTATCAGAAGCGCCTCCTAAGTCAATGGCATTAATCCATTCATGAGGGCAGAGCCCTCATGGCTTAATCATACCTTAAAAGTCTCACCTCGTAATACTATCACAATGGCAGTGAAATTTTAACATGACTTTTTTGTTTTGATATGCTGAGCTTTTTTTCTTAACTTTTATGTTCAAGGGTACAAGTGCAGTTTTCATATATAGATAAACTTGTGTCATGGGGGTTTGTTGTACAGATTATTTCGTCACCCACGTATTAAGCCTAGTACCCATTAGTTATTTTTCCTGATCCTCTTCTTCCCTTAACCCTTAACCCTCCACCCTCCAAAAGGCCCCAGTGTGTGTTATTCCCCTCAATGTATCCATGTGTTCTTATTCTTTAGCTCCCACTTAAGAGTGAGAACATGAAGTATTTGATTATCTGTTTCTGTGTTAGTTTGCTAAGGATAATGGCCTCCAGCTCCATCCATTTCCCTGCAAAAGACATGATCTTTTTCTTTTTTTATGGTTGCATAATAGTCCATGCTATATTTGTACCACATTTTCTTTATCCAGTCTATCATTGATGGGCATTTAGGTTGATTCCATGTGTTTGCTATTGCGAACGATGCTGCAGTAAATATACATGTGCATGTGTCTTTATAATAGAATAATTTATATTCTTTTGGGTATATACCCAGTAATGAGATTTCTGGATCAAATGGCATTTCTGTCTTTAGGTCTTTGAGGAATTGTCACACTGTCTTTCACAGTGGCTGAACTATTTTATACTCCCACCAACAGTGTATCAACAGTGTGTCAGCTTTCCTTTTTCTCCACAACCTCACCAGTATCTGTTATTTTCTGACTTTTTAATAGCCATTCTGACTGGTAGGAGATGGTATCTCATTGTGGTTTTGATTTGCATTTCTCTAATGATCAGTGATGTTCAGTTCTTTTTTCATATCAATATGACTTTCAAAGGGGACATTCAAACCATCACAGAGACACATGCCAAGTCTTTAGGGACTCCACTTCAGGACTGTGGCCCC